GGGATCCCGGGGAGAGTGGGGAGGGACATTGGGGTGGCCGGGGGAGCCCCTCCTCGCAAGCCCAAGGAGACTCCCTGCGCCCAGGCGTACACTGGGGCAGGGGTGTCCTGCGGGCGTTTGATTCATTCGGTTTATAAATCTGCTGGACGCTACTGCTTTCAGTCAGGCTGAAAGAAGAATCCTGTCTTAGATTATTTCCTTGAATCCGGGATTCCCCCGCTTCAGAGTACAGTCACGGTCTGATTCTCATGACTGAAGTGTAGAAAGCTCCCTCCAGGATTGCCCATGCTGTTAGCATGCCAAGAGCCCAGATTCCCCGTGACTTACTTCTCTGACTTTGGAACCTACTAGGGACCTGTGCTTTCGACTTTCTCCCAGCCCCTGAGCATCACCTTGTAAGACAATGATTTTACTTCCCAAACATGATGCTACCCCAAGCCTGCAGGTAGACATGGTTTCTGTTCTACCCAATTCAATTTCAAAGAGAAAACAAAGCTAATGAACCACCCAGAATTCATCTTTCGGTGGACCGTCCTCCCTCTACTTTAGTGTGGATGGTGCTTCGTGGTGACTCAGGGGAACCAGTGTTACAGACTAGGCCTTCCACTGGGGGCAGGATTCCCAGGAGCACAGTGGAGAGTAGACCAGACCTTCGTCCCAAGAGGAGTCAGAGAGGCGGAAGGCATCCCAGCAAAGCCAGCCCAGGTTCACAACCCAGTCCCTAGAGAGTGTGTGACTTGTCACCGGCTCACCCAGGGCTGGCTGGGCCTAGAATCCACATTTGCACCAAACATAAGGCTAAACACACTCTGCCTCTGAGCTACACCCCTAACCCCAAACAGCCTCTTCATGCTGAGAATGTTATTCTAATGTAAAGCACTCTTAAGCACACAGAAGCATAGCTGGGTGTCATTTTAGGAGACTAAATGAAGCAAAGAAGTTGCTGTGCTCATTTGGAACTCCTTAATTTATGCTCAGGTATATTTTTGACAATGATAATTATTTGTGACACAGTTCCTAGAAAACACTATCAATGAGAGACAGCACACAAAGGCCTCAGTATTCATTCCATAAACATGTACTAAGCACCTACTCAGTACATGGCTACTAGGGAAGCAGGTGGGAAACTCCAGGGAAATGTCCCCAAGAATCTGCCCCCGAGGAACTCACCATTTCGAGAGGGGTTGCAAGAAATCGCAATGTTGGTTGGTTTCCCTTAACTCTGTTTTTGTCACCTATAGCCACCAAACAATATTGAGTAAAACCTATCTGTGAGTGAAGTGGAAATTCTTGTCATATTTAGCTAATGTAGAACACCTTCTGGTTACTATGTAACCCTGGCAGATAATACCATGGCAGGAATAAACGTTTATAAATTCAAATGTGCAACAAAAAGATTTTTTTTTTAACCTGAAGCTCCTTTCTGTTTGAGGCCCCCATTCCTCTACAGTGACAATAATCCCATCAACAGGAGGACTTCCCTTCCCTCAAAGCTGTGCCAAGATTAAAAGTATTGGAGCTTCAATAGTCCTGGGATCACAGATCCACAGGAATCTAGAAACATTCTTCGTCCACTCTGGAATTTGGATTTCAGTTCTATGGTTTCAGGCATGAGGGCTGAAGATGTGAGTGGCTTTCTGGCCATGAGATACGGCTGAAATCTCTGGGGCAGCCCTGCTGCCTGGATGGTCTTGAAGCATCATCCAGAACTTTTTAAAATGCAAGTGCCACAGCCGCCTCACAAACTTCCTAAGTCAGGAGCTCGGAGCAAAGCACAGTCAGGAAACTACAAACTCTCAGCATTACCATTCCTCCTTCCTTTGAGGACTTGGAGATGGGTGGTTTTTTGAAAAAACTTGATTTTTTTTTGTTTTGACTTCAGATAACAGTTATTCCCTCTATCCCAAGATTTTTGCTTCAGAGGTACCTAAAATAGTATCAGTGGATTTAAGCAAGTAAGTATTTGTGGGGGGAAGAAAAAAGGACAGCTCTTACCTGCCATAAAACATGTTTGCAGATGAAGAGTTTGAGGCCTCAGGTTATATGACGGGTTCAGAAAAACCTGGTGGAAAAGTACAACAAAGGCTTGTAACCACACTTTAAGACTATTAGTTTGCCTCCTATACCATCATTCTACTACTTTTACCCTTTAATGACAGCCAAGACTGAACACATTTCCAGGAAAAACCAAGAGGAGAGGCATTTGATATATTTCAGCTCCCACCTTTACCACACAGTGTGCCACCATTGTAATTTTATCTTACAGGTGAGGGGGTTAGATGGAGGCAAACTGTAGTGTTTGTCCAGTGTAAGAGTACAAAGTAGGCCACTCTGAAGCTTACCATTTTTCCTGTCTCCTATGACCAAAACCCCCTCTAGAAACCAAGTACTGATTTGAAAGCACTCACTGTGTCAAGTGTGTTATATAATCTCTACTCTCTGATCATTCATTATTCATAGAAAGTACTAGTACAACATTTTTCTGCGGACTCAGGCTGAATGACTTATTCACCCAAGGTCTCTGTGAAGCAGAATAAAATTTGAAATGAGATCTGCTTTCAAGCCAGGCTCTCCCCAAGGCAGCTGCTTTTGCCACTAAAACAATGGGCTTTCCAATGAAGGAAATGGAGACAATAACTCCAGTTATGCTAATTTAACTATTGTGCAAAAATATCAAATCAGATTTTGGGATGTGGAATGTCATGATGTTAATACCATGAGGCTAACACACTTCAAGTTTGGACATTCAGCTCGGTTTTAAGATGTGATCAGTTTGGGGCAAATCATTTAATCTCTTTCAGATATGCCTCCTCTACACTAAAAAGAACTGGACTGGTTAGCTTTGTTTTTATTTTTAAGGACTGAGTAACTTTTAAGTTCCCTCCTTGCTGTGAAATTCAGTTTCTATACATAAAGTACCACATAAGAATCATCTCTCAGTTTTACCTTGTCTTTTTAATTTAGCATCTCACTTATTTTTCATTACTCTATCAAAGTTTTTTTGCAGGGGGCTCAGCATTCTTCACACTTTTGTAGACAATGCAATAATTTCCAATAGCATGATATGTCAAAGGAAATGCAGAAAGTAAATAGGCAGAACATATCTGCAAGTGTATCTTCTAAATCTGCAAAGGATTCAGGAATATATACCTCTCTCTTGCATGATCAAAGAGAGGCAGCAGGAATTTTTAGTCTAGTAAGGACCATAGTTACAACTTGTTTAAGTTAAAAACTGAGGTCAGATAAGAACTAAAAGGTGGAACAGAGACAAGGAAATCATTACTTAAAAACTGTAGTGTTGAGAACACCGCAACTTCTGAGACCCATTAAAGTCACCCAAGGTGATCCAAACCTGCATTCTCTTGGTTAAATTTAGGCTCCTTTCCTTCCACACCCATCACATCCAAAATTTCTCACGAACACTGAGTCTATAAATTGATTTCCCTGAGAAAGGAAAGAACAGGAATCTCATCATAAAATAACGGAACAGGTTAGAGAATTCAAACAATACTTAAGTACAGTCTATAAATTGATTTCCCTGAGAAAGAACAGGAATCTCATCATAAAATAACGGAACAGGTTAGAGAATTCAAACAATACTTAAGTTATCCATCGAAAAAATGACAACAAAAAAACTAGGCTCATACCTGTAATATAGGCCATTACCCTCTGAGGGGTGGGCCATCTATTCCCAGGGTGGTCCTCCGACCCCCCAAAAGAAGCATAAATGCTCCCAGGCCCAGTAAATAAGGGTCACTGTCCCTCTCGAGGGCCTGTACAGTGTTTCTTTGAATGTTCACCATTTAACCTCTGCTTAGTAAATCCCTATGCCTCTTTCTGAGTCCTGAAAATTCTTTTTCAGAGGCAGGTGTTGGCAAACCTGCAACATTTCACAGATAGGGTGGGTTGGGTTTGTTATCTGTTTTGGACCTTCCTTGGACCCTATCCGGTGACAAAACTGTTATTTTAATTATTGTGTCGAGAAAGTTTACTCGAATCTTAATCTTGCCATTTCCTCATTCTGTGATTTTTGAGCAAATTATCCTTCCATGCCTCAGTTTCCGCATGTGAGCTGCATTCTAGCAATATGTACCTCGTAAGACGGTGAGGCATGAGCTATTCATGTCAAATAGCAAAGTCTAACAAATGTCTGGCTGTCGCTCCTGGCACATCTCAGCTGGTTGTCTTTTCACGCTGGAGCTGGTTCAGTCATTTCAGGCACCTGGTACTCAGTGCTTATGAAGTCAGAGGCGCTGGCTTTTAGGGGAAATTAATGACTGGCCTTATTGGACTTCAGTGATACACGATCAAGGAGATACAAAGATGAAGTTAAAAGAGAAAAGGGGACATCCGATTTGACCAAAGCCCCACCTAGGGTCACGTGTGTGCGCGCTTTCCAGGGGCTGCAGACCCGAGAATCGTTGTGGCTTCTGACACTGGACGTCACTGGAGGCGCACCCAATGGTGGCAGCTCGATGAATTTCGCTCTGCCCTCTTCCCGCGAGGCTTGATATGCCATTCATTTCATCATTGCCTGTTCCTTTCTTTCGCTTCGTCATTGGCCAGCGGGCGCCTCCCGTACAAGGCGTGCAAGGACACGCGAGGCGCAGCACAGTGACGACACACGTGCTTCCGCTCGTATACGTCACTTCCGGGACGCTACCTTCGTGGAGCCTTGTGGGTAACTGGCCGGGGTCTCCTGGCGACGACGATGGCGGGGGATGTGGGCGGTCGCAGCTGCACTGACTCGGAGCTGCTGCTGCACCCGGAGCTGCTATCCCAGGAGTTCCTTCTCCTCACTCTGGAGCAGGTCGGGCGCTGAGGGAGGGAGGGAGGGAAGGCGGGCGGCCTGCCGGGAGAGACTCGCCCCGAGTGGTTGTCGGTGACGACGGGTATCCTGCCGCCGTCCCAACTCCTGCCGGACTTGTGCCACTCTCATCAGCCCCCAGACCAGTCAAGTCTTTCCTAGGCCCCTGTGCAGAGAGGAAAGGTTCCTGGAGTCTCAGGAATTCCTGGGAAATAGCACTTAGCTATCAGGGCCCTTACTGTTCTGGAGAGGGGTTCGCAGGTGACGCCCGTGGTTTGTGTGTCAGCAAGAGCTAGGGCAGACGGGGACTGAGGAAGAGAAGTGGAGGTAGACATCCGGACCGTCGAGGCTGGGAAGCATCTGAGGAGCCTTCTGTTCCACTCACCTCGATCCAAGATGATGAAACTGAGCCCACAAAAGACCCAATGACGCGTTTACGGCCATATGTACTATTTACATACGTGATGGATTAGTGGAAAATGCAGGGTTCTCGGCTCTCCGTGGAGTGCTTGATGTTTTCAGCTGGTGTGGCCTCTGAAAATAGGCTGGGCATGAGAAAAGAAAAAAATGGTGTTTAAAGTGAACAGAGTTACAGAAATTTTTCCTTGTGGTTTTATGTAGCATATTTTGTTGTTTTCTCCTCTGAGCCGGTAGTTTTTTCTAATTTCCTCAAGCTATCCTACTGAATAGGTTACTTTAAATAATGACCTTTCCCTATGACTTAAACTTTCAGAACCGGCTATGGACTTGTTAAAATAGATCGCCAAGCTCATCCTCAATTTCTTAGTAAATTTCAGATGTGGATTGAAAATTTACACTTTTAACCTGTTCTTGCTGCAGATTCAACGACTGTACTTTTAGAATTACTGGATAGTTAGTCCACTATACGAGATAAAAGAAGTAAAATGTGCTTTTAAATTTTTTAAAAAGGGTAATGAGTTTATCTGAGGGCAGGTGTGTAAAAACTATTGAAGTTGAAAAGCTTATAATCCTTTTCACTCTCATTTTTATTTTCTGAATCCAAACTGCCTCCATTATTATCCCTACACTTAATCTGTAGATCTTCCATGATGTCAAGAACACATTTTTAAAAGTAAGAGGAATTGAGGTTATTTAGATAGGGATGGTTCAGCAGTAACTGAAGGCTACACAGGCTGTTCTGATGAGGTGCTGTCACTGTCCTCAGTGAGGGTTACAGATTCCTTCTGCAGTACTGTTGAAAATTTTGGTAGTCAACCTTAAGCACTGTGGGGCATGGTGAAAGAGCATGTGCTTAGCACAGCTAAGGCCCTGAGTTCAATTCCTAACAACAAAACAAAAAGGCACTGCATTCAAGCACCATAAGAAATAACAACATATAGGGAGAGACTTGAGCCTCCATCCCACCAATCTGATCACAATAATAACACTCAAGGTAGCTTATTGACAGAATGGGTTAATTTTTGCTTTGGTTTCTATGTTTACCCCGGCAGTCTTCCATTTCAATCCTTTATAGGTTAAGTCGATGTTACTAGAAACGGTCTTTGTGTCTAGAATATTGCCCCAACAGTTGTTTTTATCAGTCCTTGTGACAGTAATGATGTATGACTGTTGTCTTTCAGATGAGGCTGAACTTGATATTTGCAGGGTTTAACCTGTCTGTAATACCATATCTAAAGAAACTTAGGGGGCTTTTAAGTGCTTGTATGATTGTGAAAAATGGTTTTATAATTTATTTATGTAATGTTTTACCATTTTAGGTAGGTAGTCATTATAATGAAACATGTTGTTTTGAAATTGACTTTTGTTTCCTTTCCTGCAGAAGAACATAGCTGTTGAAAACGACGTAAAAATAAACAAAGACAATCTTACTGATCTTTATGTCCAGCATGCAATACCATTGCCTCAGAGAGAATTGCCAAAGAATAGATGGGGGAAAATGATGGAAAAGAAAAGAGAACAACATGAGATAAAAAATGAGCCTAAAAGGTACTTTTTAATGGTTCTAGTTTTTATTTTATAAGACTGAACAGTTTTGTTTATTCTCAGCTAAAATTAATTTTTTAAAAATTCAGCTTTACTGTTGACATGAAGCACCGTGTTTATTAGCAGAATAAAATTGATAAAATTCCTTGCTCACATTTTATTTGGGAGAAACATTTAAGAAGTTAAGTGTATCATATATTACTTAGTGAAAGATGTTAAAGAGAAAGGCAGATCAGGAAAAAGAATTAGCTTTTTGGTAAAATGGCCAGGAACAGCCTTAAAGAGACCTGTAGGGAATAGCAAACTAGCATCCCAACATAGTACAAGAGTCAAGAGTGTGGATCAGGAGAGTGCCCATCATAGATGAGGTGTGATCACAAATAACAGTGAATGTTTAAATTTTAAAAATGCATTGCAGTACAAGACATGTTACTACTAATCCCCCTCGGAAAACGCCCCCCCCCACACTTATCTCATTATTCTTTTTTACATAGTTCTGAAAGTCCTTTTCCTTGAATGTCTTTCACAGTTGTGCTGTTAGGCTGCCTGAATATCCTGAATCAACTCAAAACATTTACCTTTCATGGTCATTTTGACTTTGGCCAAGAGCTGGAAGTCACAGGATTCCAGATCTGCTGAATAAGGTTGATGAAGTTACCTGTAATGTTTTTATTTGACAGAAATTATTCCAGTTTTTTTTTTTCTTTTTTTTGTACCGGGAATTGAACTTGAGACCTTCTGCTTTTGAGGCAGGTGGCAGAACCACTGAGCTAAATCTCCGGCCCTATTCCAAATCTTTTGAATTGATTCAGAACTGTGAGCCAGCCACAAAAAAGACTCATAAAAGAGGACTTCTAGAAATATTTCCAAAAGTGATAAAGAACGATAGGATAAGTGTATTCTAAGCAAGGGGGTATTTTAATGGCATTGTGTCTTGTACTATAATAAATCTTAATTTTTATTTGAATGTTCAAATGTGTTTTGTGATCACACCACTACCAGGAATAGCAAAGTGGCTGTCAGGTGGAATGGTGGAAGTAGGAGATAGGAGTTAATACCTGGGGTATGAGGGCGAGCTTGTCAGACCAGGCACTGTTCTTCAAGAACTTTGGTTTTACCCTGAGATGAGAAGACATTAGCGGGTTTTGAGCCAGTGCTAGTGGTGGCTCCATCGGATGGCATTTTAACAGGACCACCACAGCTGCTCCTGAGAAGGGGTTTAAGGTGGGAGCATTGCAAAGTGAAAGCATCAAAGCCAATTAGGAGGCCCTGTGGTTATCCTTGCAATACGTAGTGGCAGCCATAACTAAGGTAGTGAATTTGATAGGTTGAAGTTTGTAGATGTTTCCAGAGGTAGAACCAACAGGATTTGTTGAACTTTGGAAAAAAAGATGACTGAAGTAAGACCCTAAGGTCTTTGAATAATGCAAAAGCAAGGATCCTGTCAGCTAGCTTCAGGTACACTGATTAAGATTTTAAATTTCAGAAAATTGTTCCTAAAACCAGAAGCCAATGTCTTTGCTTTTTGAATGAAAATTGTGTGTTAGCTTATTGGTGTCATAGCTAGTTAATGAGGACAGAGTGTTCTGAAATCTCCAAGTAAGGAAATTGACTCTTTGCCTCTGTCTGTGTTACCACAGATAGATGTTATCGTATCTACTTGTTTCTTTTGGGGGCCTCTGTTTGTAGGGCACTGTTTTGAGTGTACATTGGAGCCAGTGGGAGAAGATGGGTAAAGAAGAACATGTACCTCTGATTAGTGGTTTTAATCTCTGGTTTCAAAGAAAAACTCATGATTGAGAGTATGTCCCAAAGGAATCTGGTTAAACCCCTGGTGTTGGCATTCTGATCTCAGAAGATCGGAGGAATACGTGCATGCTCATTGTTTTGGAAAATAAATGTATGTGCACTCTCTATTGATGAAGAACATATTTAGGTTCAGATTGAATGTTGTTTTAGCTTGATAGTTACATATGAGGACAAGCCATGTGTTAGCTTTCACAAACCTATGGGTTATGTTGTATATGCTTTTTTTTTGGCCATACTGGGATTGGACCCAGAGCCTTCATACTGAACTATACCCCCAGACATTTTCATCTTTTATTTCAAGACTGTCTCACTGAATTGCCTGAGCTAGGTTTGAACTTGTGATTCTGTGCCTCAGCTTGCAAGCTCTGGGATTACAGGCCACCACTCCAGCTCACATGTACCTTGTAACTCACTTTATCTGGGTTCTTATTCAGGCAGTATTTTCTACATTAGCACTCCAGATATATTGTCTGAAAAATTGTCAGCAAAATTCTAAGTGGTGGTTACTTTCCTTTGAAGCAGAGCTTAGTAACAGCCCCTCAAGTATCACTTGTGAAAGGATCTTTGGCTCTGTCTCCAAACTTTGCAACTTGAGTCTTGAGTCAGAATACTGAAGTTGGAAGGATCTAGGGATGTCTGTGCAAGAGACTGAGACCCAGAGTATTGTTGAGATATGCTGTGGTCACATGTCCAGGACCCAACTGGGCAGTGAGCCTGTCAGTCCCTTAGACTCCCTTCTACCATGGCCACAGAGGCACATGGTGAGCTTATTTTTCATCTTTGTACCAAATGCTACTCAGTGGCAACCAGAAATTGGTGAGCTTGACTGGTCACTAAGGGATCTGGTTAAAACACTGATGTTTTTACATCCCAATCCTGCAGCTCCATTGGAGCCCTGGATTCTGCATTTCTTCCATGCTCTCAGATGCTGCTGCTGTTACTGGTCTCTGACATGCTAGAGAGGCAAGGTAAAAGGGTTCTTCCCGAGAGGCTCCTTGAGTTCTTTCAGCATGCTTAATGAAAAGGCTTTCTTCTTAAACAAATACATTATATAATGAGCTCTGAGCAATAAATAAGTGAATGCTTTATTTACTTTGACTGTCAAAAGTGGATATCAGTGAGCCTACCTGTAATTATGAGAAGCTGAGGCAGGAAAGTTGAAGCCTAGCCTGGGTCAAAATAAAAAGAGCTAGTGATGTAGCTCAGTACAGAGGCCTGGGGTTTAATCCACTGTATTGCAAAAATAGTTTGATAGTTAATACATAGATGGATGGATGGATAGATGATAAAAATGGAAATTAGATCTTCAGGAGCTAAACATAGAAGATTTACCAAATCTTACCCAATTAGGATTGCATAAATGTTACAATTAAAGTTATTGTAGAAGATACCTTAGCCTGGAAGACTAGGTAACTGGAATAGAGTGTTCTGCCTCATTTTGCAGCCTGCCTGTACATATAGTTTTATGGTTTGCCTTTAAAAATAACACCTGGTTATGACTGTGTGACCAGGATAACCCTTCCAGGATGCTGACATTTATTTTATTGTTGTTACTTGGAAATCCTATTTGAGTTTTAGGGTCTGGTGGCTAATTGACGTTTGAAGAATACCCACATCTCTTAACATATGTTAAATTAGCTAACTAGATTTCTTACAAATATTTTGCACTTCAAATAAAGCACTAGAAAGTTAATCATTTTAAAGGAATGGACATGGAAAATTCATTTCCAGGAGTTTCATCGCTAAGTCTTCTTAGTAGGTTTTGTTGACTATAGTTGGCTTTAACTCTGGATTCCAGTGAGCCACGTTGCCTTCCCTGGTGATATTTCCAGCTGTGCATCTCTTTGATTGTAGGGGATGGCCGGGGATTTAGCTCAGTGGTTCCAAAGCCTGTTTCGCAGGTGCAAGATCTGGAGTTTGATCCCCGCTACCAAAAAAAAAAAAAAAAAAAAACAGTTCCTTCTCTTTG